AATATCGTCGTCCGAATATTATAGAAACTCTATATAAAAATAGAGATTGGTAAAAATGTATTGGTAAATAATATCTAAAACGACAGTTGCCCAGAGTTGGTCTAATAAAAAAGTCCATTTACAAAAAATGTGGTTAAGATAGTCTAGTCTGAAAAAATGTAAAAGCTATTGCAATTCATGAAAAAAAAATAAATAAAGACCCTAACACAACAACCAGTTTTACAAGCCTATAAGTCTCTTGCCAAAGATCGGGTAGACTAGAGGTAGTGTTAAACAACAAACTAAAAAGTTCTTGTAACACTAATTTTCAATACTATGCGTGTTAATAAAAATTACTATATCTTACGTGAAACTTGTTACATCAAACACGATACCTTTTAGCTGTCAGTCATAAATAATCCTGTACGAATAACTCCGATATTGTCTAGTGGTTAGGATACCTGGCTCTCACCCAGGAGGCTCGGGTTCGATTCCCGGTATCGGAAAAATGTTTACTTTTTTTTTATATTCAACATTTGATAAAGCATCGAATTCATTTATCGCGTTCAACAATGCACCAAGAACTTTACGCGATTTTTCTAAATGTTCCATGCATCGACGGCACTCTGGGCAAATTATTATAAGCACCCCAACACACGGCTGCCCTCGCTTCAAGCGATCCTCTTCAGCTACTCCATGTGGCCCGTACGCGTGGGTTCACTTGATCGAATCAAAGCCAACCTACCAACCTCTCTTTCGTTTTATCCTCCCACGTGGTAATCGTGACGCAAAACCTCCTCTGTAGCTCTTATATTAACATTTTAATACTCTTCTACATACTCGGATATCATGAACTATTATATTTAGCTCATCAATGACGCATGACATTTCCATTAGGTCAACCGATGCTATTTTCATTGATATATAGTATCAAAATTTATACGATGATTTTACTTTGCTTCATGTGGTGTATGTATGTACATGTATACCATGAACGATGCACGATTATGCAATAATAACGAATAATGACGAAAAAAGGTAAAATTCATTCCCTTGAAGCAAATCCACTATTATTTCATAACATTTTTCTCCATCAGTATTGAATTTCATCTTGAATCTCGAAAACTTTGTCAGTCAACTTGAAAGAAATTAATAATGAGATTTCACAAATGGCTAATTCTGAAAAAAGTTTCATAGTTATCATATACTTAAAGCTTAACGTACGATAAAAGTCGAGTATGTCCTTTATTGTCTTTTAGGTTTGAATAAGTATTATGAAACTAACTTTTATAACAAGTCTCATCACCAATTACAAATTAAGTCTTGTCTCAAATTTTAGATAACAATTATTCAAGGCTTACACATATTAGGAATGTGTAGAAAATTACCAACTTACAATTTAATTAAGAAACTCGTGGAAAATATATTAAATTAAATCAATAAGAGTGTCTTTTTCAACATAGTCTCAAATCTGTTTTCATGAAACTCAACATTACCGTTTTTATTTATGCTGTTTCTGATACTCCGTTCTTAAATAATTGTGCAGATTTTTCTATACATTTTTTTTTGCTAAAGTTTTTTATCGTAAAGCTAACAGATTACGGATGGAAATACAGAGAGAATAGATATCAGATATACATATGCTGCTTGCACAACTGTAAACGCGTTTAGTCCGTAACGTTCTCATGCTATAATTGTGAAATCCTGGATGATTAAATTATTCAATATCCGCATAACGAGACTTTGAATATACGATATTTATATCAATTACAATAAATTGTTTGAATGATGCGATTATCTCTACGAGTAGCAAACTTCGTTTTACTTGGATGCCAGAATGGATTATTGTGATGAGATATTTTAAACTGATATTTTAAATTCCTCAAAAATATAGGCAGTCATGGTGTTTCAGGGGAGAATTCTGAACGATGAATCGAAAAAAATTGGTGTTTTTAGGTAACGGTTGATAGTTGATCATCAGGCTACCCCTTTCCGGCATCAATCCTTAGACTTCGGCATAATCTAGGAATGAAAATGAGAAAAGTGTTATTTGGATTGTTTCTGAAATTTATTGATAAACTATTTCCTTGAAAAATGTAAATTGAAAATCGCGTTGAAACTTATAACGACAGAGGATATAGTATGTGAAGTTAATTTAATGCTGTCAGACTGTTTATTTTTGACGGGGTGAACTTATGCACAATGGAAAATTATTATCGATGCAGAGGGTTTGAAATGAACGGAACTAGATTCACGTTGATATCGATATTTTACGTAATTCCAATAATGCAGATACATTGCATTTTATGAGTACTGTTAAACCAATTGCGATGAAATGAAAAATCGATTATGAACTATTGTTAAAAGCTGATTGAAGTCCATTCTTATTTTGTAGTTCTTATACTGCCATCTATCCAATGAATATGCAGTTATCGTTTTCCACTGAAGATTATATAATTACCTTGTTACCGACAGTTGGTAAACAAGATAGGAAAAGCCTTTGTAACATTGATTTACTGTACCATCAGTCAATTAATAACACGTACTATATTGCCATAGATAATTCATAAAAGATGATGATAATAATATTTAAAAAAACGATATGCTTTTCGTATATCACATAATAAAGCACATATGATATTCTGTGCGAATTTGTTATAATATTTATATTAATTTGATAAATCTCTTATTAAAAAAAATTCGTAGATTACAGATATTAGAGTTCCTGAGGGTATTCACAGTAAATTTTAATGTATAAAGAATTATAAGTATCTACGTCCACTTCACAGGTTTAATGTACTGAAACTATTATCTTGATCTCCATATGAACGGGTCCTTCATTATAATTTCCCAAAAGGTCTTATGGCGCTTCTCTCGAAAATTTTAACTTATAAAAATGAAAACTCATAAAAGATTATAAGAGCATTACAGCAATGTACTGCGGTAATCTCATTCCTTTCATTTATTCATTTACACGTTCGTTGTGCGAAACAAAACAAATAAAAAGATTGTTAATACAATGAGAAAAAATGGTTAAAACTTCAGATTGATCCAATAAGCTGTTAGATTCAAATTACTTAAGGCAACTTTTTATTGTAGCTACAAGTACTTTCTTGATTTTTTCACGAGGGAGGTATATAAGTACCAGAAACAAATACTAGCCAGTACTAGTTTAAAGTTCAGTCTACTCTTGACTTCCTGCTTGAAGAGAGCTCAGAAAGTGATGAGATGATCCACGTGTTGCTTAAAAACGTAATGCATCTTGTAATTGTTTCACTTGTGTTAAGAGTAAGAACAATTAACTGCATGATATAGAAGAGCTTTATACACATGAGTGACATGAATGGAATTTCATACCTGGCGGGATTATCACTTTTATAGCTGGTCAAGTGCCATTTAATATGCTTATAGTCTGTGCTAGTACCACTTTATTGTGGATCCCTGGGAGAAACATGTAGGTTCCACTTTGCAATTAGTTTAATCCACACAACTTTTCTCCTTAAAATGTTTTAACAGCTTAACAGCAGATCTATTATTAAAATAACGAATTTTGTTTTGTCTTATGTTGATTATACAGAACCTAGCATTCTCATCCTGGATAAGTTTTCAGTAGCACTTCTTATGTAGACAGTTATCTGTTAAAAATCGTATTTTTTATGTATAGCCTTCTTTTTAATAAAATAATTAATAGTGCATAAATTTAAAGTGCAATTTTCAGAATGTCATTTAATAAAGATAAATTTTAAACAGGGTATAAAGAAGTAACCAAGAAGCAGAAGATATGTCAAGTGAAATATAGGAATATTTTGTAAGAAAACTTTTGATTTTCCTACACAATTTCCTTGTTGGGTTATGAATTTAGCATCTTTGCCTTATCAAAGAGCTATTCTAAACTATTTAACTGTATAATAATTAGCCAACATCTTCGACCTGCTTATAACGATACTTACTTTCCTCGGAGGAACCCTTTGAGGATTCTAGAAACACCTTACTAGGTCTGGAAAGGCCATTCAGTGAACAGAACACGAACGTCAATAGGGGACTGTTAATGTATGCATAAGTACACTGGCAAACACTCCAAATAAAGCATGAAGACCCTTAACTCCAACGGAGCATGCCTCGACAGCAGTCTAAGTGGTCACACAGAGTGCAAGATGCAAAGTTAAAGGAATGCTGGGGGTAAAAAGTGCATGGAAGGCTAGTTTCCAGTATCTGCATAAGTGATTGCATCAAAAGTTTCACGAACAAGGGGAGAAATGTCTCTTCTGAGAAAATTCAAATCCTTCTATAGCATACCCTTCTGGAACAATTAGCTGTAACCAGCATCTTCAACATACAAAAGAATGAGTAAGTACTGCATTATACTTTGGATTGAATCGCTGGCTCTCACAAACAAGCATTAATGGATTTTCAAAATTTTAAAAACCTAAGGAAAAAAATAAATTTACCTTATCCTGCCACATAAGCCAAAATTTAAGTATGTCCGGTCTACGCTTACATTCCATATAAAAGTCTTCAGTATTAAATTCTAATGAATAAAATTTATCTTTCTGAAAAAGATATGTCGCTTCCTTCGATTGAGCTTCAATCAAAATACTCCAAGGTTTTGCGAGAAAGAGAGAACACTGTTGTGGAACAGCTAGTAATTTAT